ATCGACGTGAAATTAACGAGTGTTCAGTATGGTTAAGGAAATGCCAGCTAGTTCTCTGACGATTGACACGTTCACGTTTCGCTTTACGATAAGACGACGCCATTGTGATCCGCTTTGACGTGTTATTCTACCACTGTATGTTGTTTTCTTATAAGAATAACTTACGAAACTGCAAACTAAGGGAACATCGATATTTAACGTTACATGGAAAATATGTGATGGAAATTGACGTCGGACAGGAAAATAGATAAAGTGACTAAAAATTGACACACGGTTAGATAGAATCTCTAGGTATCTAGACCTACATTAGAACGTATTGGAATTGTTAGATGGAATCTCCAGGTGTCTAGACCTACATTAGAACGTATTGACACGGTAAGATGGAATCTCCAGGTGTCTAGTTCTAGATTAGAACTTATTGACACGTTTAGATGGAGTCTCCAGGTGTCTTGACCTACATTAGAACGTATTAACACGTTTAGATGGAGTCTCCAGGTGTCTAAACCTACATTAGAACGTCTTAACACGGTTAGATGGAATCTTCAGGTGTCTAGACCTACATTAGAACGTATTGGGACGGTTAAATGGAATCCCCAGGTGTCGAGACCTACATTAGAACGTATTGACACGGTTAGATGGAGTCTCCAGGTGTCGAGACCTACATTAGAACGTATTGACACGGTTAGATGGAGTCTCCAGGTGTCTAGACCTACATTAGAACTTATAAGCACGGTTAGATGGAATCTCCAGGTGTCTAGACCTACATTAGAACGTATTGGAACGGTTAGATGGAGTCTCCAGGTGTCTTGACCTACATTAGAACGTATTAACACGTTTAGATGGAGTCTCCAGGTGTCTAAACCTACATTAGAACTTATTAACACGGTTAGATGGAATCTCCAGGTGTCTAGACCTACATTAGAACGTATTGACCCGTTTAGATGGTGTCTTATGGTGTCTTACCTGGCGTTGATATCATATAACAGACTCCGGGTGTTTACGAGGCGATGAACTCAGCAAAATTACAAACAGACTTAAAAAAATTAACTTAACTGAACGAATTTTAACTCAAAATTGATGGGACGATTGTAAAAGTTTGAACGATACACTCGGGCCAAGAACTGATGGTCATTACATCAGAAAATACGCCCACATATTTGTGAGAGCTTGCATTCAATAACGTTCAATGTCAGAGAGTCAAAGTTATTTTATCATCATTTAAATTTAGGTATGTTAGATTTTCACGAGCCATATCATTTGTGACGTCGTATTGACTCAACTATAAACGATTATATTAGTGTTGAAACAGAAACTAGATATTGTTGAAATATGCTGATGTGACCTGTTATATTACAGAAATCTGCCCCTAATTACTGGTGTTTTACCAGGGGAGAAAAAAAGTTGTGTTGCTGACCCTATAGACTGGCTACATATGTCCGTAAACACTGTGTGTGGTCTTCAGGTCTAGTGGTCACTATTATATACGTCATAGTATACATATATAGCACGATTAATGTGATAGGGTAGAGGTGGCCGGTGCTGATGACAAAATCTTGTTTCAAAACTATTCATCTTGGTGGGTTTTTTTTGCTTTATCGTTTATATCGACATCAAAACATAAAGCAAAAATGTAAAGCTTGCTTTTCCAAAGTAAGAAGTAAACAACGGTACATGAACTTCTGTAACAAGTAAACAACGGTACGTGTACTTCTGTAGGAAGTTCACAACGGTACATGTACTTCTGTAGGAAGTTCACAACAGTACATGTACTTCTGTAACAAGTAAACAACGGTACATGTACTTCTGTGTGAAGTAAACAACGGTACATGTACTCCTGTGTGAAGTAAACAACGGTACATGTACTTCTGTGCGAAGTAAACAACGGTACATGTACTTCTGTGTGAAGTAAACAACGGTACGTGTACTTCATTGCGAAGTAAACAACGGTACGTGTACTTCTGTGCGAAGTAAACAACGGTACATATACTTCTGTGTGAAGTAAACAACTGTACATGTACTTCTGTGTGAAGTAAACAACGGTACATGTACTCCTGTGTGAAGTAAACAACGGTACATGTACTTCTGTGCGAAGTAAACAACGGTACATGTACTTCTGTAACAAGTAAACAACGGTACATGTACTTCTGTGTGAAGTAAACAACGGTACGTGTACTTCATTGCGAAGTAAACAACGGTACGTGTACTTCTGTGTGAAGTAAACAACGGTACATGTACTTCTGTGTGAAGTAGACAACGGTACATGTACTTCTGTGTGAAGTAAACAACGGTACATGTACTCCTGTGTGAAGTAAACAACGGTACATGTACTTCTGTGCGAAGTAAACAACGGTACATGTACTTCTGTGTGAAGTAAACAACGGTACATGTACTTCTGTGCGAAGTAAACAACGGTACATGTACTTCTGTGTGAAGTAAACAACGGTACGTGTACTTCATTGCGAAGTAAACAACGGTACGTGTACTTCTGTGCGAAGTAAACAACGGTACATATACTTCTGTGTGAAGTAAACAACTGTACATGTACTTCTGTGTGAAGTAAACAACGGTACATGTACTCCTGTGTGAAGTAAACAACGGTACATGTACTTCTGTGCGAAGTAAACAACGGTACATGTACTTCTGTAACAAGTAAACAACGGTACATGTACTTCTGTAGGAAGTTCACAACGGTACATGTACTTCTGTAGGAAGTTCACAACAGTACATGTACTTCTGTAACAAGTAAACGCCGGTACATGTACTTCTGTGTGAAGTAAACAACGGTACATGTACTCCTGTGTGAAGTAAACAACGGTACATGTACTCCTGTGCGAAGTAAACAACGGTACATGTACTTCTGTGTGAAGTAAACAACGGTACGTGTACTTCATTGCGAAGTAAACAACGGTACATGTACTTCTGTGCGAAGTAAACAACGGTACATATACTTCTGTGTGAAGTTAACAACTGTACATGTACTTCTGTGTGAAGTAAACAACGGTACATGTACTCCTGTGTGAAGTAAACAACGGTACATGTACTTCTGTGCGAATTAAACAACGGTACATGTACTTCTGTAACAAGTAAACAACGGTACATGTACTTCTGTGTGAAGTAAACAACGGCACGTGTACTTCATTTCGAAGTAAACAACGGTACGTGTACTTCTGTGCGAAGTAAACAACGGTACGTGTACTTCTGTGCGAAGTAAACAACGGTACATGTACTTCTGTGTGAAGTAGACAACGGTACATGTACTTCTGTGTGAAGTAAACAACGGTACATGTACTCCTGTGTGAAGTAAACAACGGTACATGTACTTCTGTGCGAAGTAAACAACGGTACATGTACTTCTGTGTGAAGTAAACAACGGTACGTGTACTTCATTGCGAAGTAAACAACGGTACGTGTACTTCTGTGCGAAGTAAACAACGGTACATATACTTCTGTGTGAAGTAAACAACTGTACATGTACTTCTGTGTGAAGTAAACAACGGTACATGTACTCCTGTGCGAAGTAAACAACGGTACATGTACTTCTGTAACAAGTAAACAACGGTACATGTACTTCTGTGTGAAGTAAACAACGGTACGTGTACTTCATTGCGAAGTAAACAACGGTACGTGTACTTCTGTGCGAAGTAAACAACGGTACATGTACTTCTGTGTGAAGTAGACAACGGTACATGTACTTCTGTGTGAAGTAAACAACGGTACATGTACTTCTGTGCGAAGTAAACAACGGTACGTGTACTTCTGTAACAAGTAAACAACGGTACATGTACTTCTGTGTGAAGTAAACAACGGTACGTGTACTTCATTGCGAAGTAAACAACGGTACGTGTACTTCTGTGCGAAGTAAACAACGGTACATATACTTCTGTGTGAAGTAAACAACTGTACATGTACTTCTGTGTGAAGTAAACAACGGTACATGTACTCCTGTGTGAAGTAAACAACGGTACATGTACTTCTGTGCGAAGTAAACAACGGTACATGTACTTCTGTAACAAGTAAACAACGGTACATGTACTTCTGTGTGAAGTAAACAACGGTACGTGTACTTCATTGCGAAGTAAACAACGGTACGTGTACTTCTGTGCGAAGTAAACAACGGTACATGTACTTCTGTGTGAAGTAGACAACGGTACATGTACTTCTGTGTGAAGTAAACAACGGTACATGTACTTCTGTGCGAAGTAAACAACGGTACGTGTACTTCTGTAACAAGTAAACAACGGTACATGTACTTCTGTGTGAAGTAAACAACGGTATATGTACTTCTGTAGGAAGTTCACAACGGTACATGTATTTTGTAACAAGTAAACAACGGTACATGTACTTCTGTAGGAAGTAAACAACTGTACATGTACTTCTGTGTGAAGTAAACAACGGTACATGTACTTCTGTTTGAAGTAAACAACTGTACATGTACTTCTGTAGGGAGTAAACAACTGTACATGTACTTCTGTAAGCCATGTGGGTGTTATTCAAACTATAAAGAGACATTTAAAAGAAGAAACAAGAATGAAAAGAAAAAAAAGCGACAGATGTACCATGTTAACATAGTGTTTAATTAAAACCTTCTCCTATTGATAGGATAATACAGATCCTCTATCAGTCTTCATCAGGTTTATAACCAATGGTGCAGGCCACATACAGGCACCTGACATTTCTTCATCAGGTTTATAACCAATGGTGCAGGCCACATACAGGCACCTGACATTTCTTCATCAGGTTTATAACCAATGGTGCAGGTCACATACAGGAACCTGACATTTCTTCATCAGGTTTATAACCAATGGTGCAGGCCACATACAGGCACCTGACATTTCTTCATCAAGTTTATAACCAATGGTGCAGGTCACATACAGGAACCTGACATTTCTTCATCAGGTTTATAACCAATGGTGCAGGTCACATACAGGAACCTGACATTTCTTTATCAGGTTTATAAAATATAATGATTTAAATATGAATACTATAACAAAATGTCCAGGTGAAATTCCCTTCCTTTATTTTTCGGTGTTTTGACAACATGAAGACAGTGGAATGACTAACAATATTTTCTAAGTCGTCCAGATGATTGTAAAATATACAAATAGCACAACACATTGATATGGACTAAATAATCTTCTCCTGCCACGCTGTCGTAAACAGCGAGGTTGACTATTTTATACGAGTTACTTCCCTTCTATTACGTTTTTTAGTACATGATGCGACAAACATCGTAAATACCACCAAGTGACCCGTATGCTCGAGAATTCTGTGATAATCAGGTGGGTTACTTCACACATTACACTGTTTTCAATCACTTTGTTTACATTATTGATAATTGGTATTGCTAATTAGAATTACCATTATTGGTTACGTTTTACTGGTCTAAAAAAACCTTTTTATCACTATCAGTATATCTATTGTCGACGCTGACGGCCGATATCATGACGAATACTATCCACACAGTATTCCACACTTTTTACATGCGGACGAAAAGCAATAGAAGGTTCACGACGGTGTAATCGAATTGAATGAGGGTTTAGAGATAACAGTGGCGAAATACAGATTTGTTTACGGTCTATACTCGTTTGAATTCGATCTCAATTTACTAAAACGTCATATAGACTACTTCTACTCTTTTGAATTTGGTTCCCGCTCAATTTCAATGACTTTCTCCATTTGTTCGGTAACACCTTTGACCCGACCTTTGATCTCCAATAAGCCCTCGTCCGTGACAACTGCATTCATACTTTCTGTGTCGATGTTCTGCAGAGAAAGTATAAGCAATATATAAAGAATAATTTCAACTGTTTAATAACAAACGTTCTTTCGGAAAGAAAGGTCGTATTTCACCCCAGTTCACTGAAGACTTTATGAAAACAATTTTCGGCCAATTGGTTTTAAAAGCATTCAAGGAAAAATTGAAAGAAAACTTGTACCTCTGGGATAAGGAATTCTCGAGTTATCTCCCTTGAGACGCACCCGTTGCTGTCTGGATTATCTTGTTTTGCCGAAATCACGAGTCGGTTGTTGTTGATTTTTACCCTCATCTGGTCTTGTTTAAAGTCTCGCATATTCATTTTCAAAGAAAAGGCTTTATTGTCAATCTTCAACTGAAAAATAATAAGTTTCATAATTGTAGTGGGTCATTTCTCAAAAGTCTTTCAGATCGAGAAAGTGACATTCTCAAAAGGCAACCATATTATACATATTATTCATACTTATCTTAAAGTTTCTCGTTGCTAGACCTTTAAAGTGTTAACAGATTAAAATAATGTTAAGTGTAAACACTTGGCATACCTCGACTGCCTCAGATCTCGATAAAACGTGTCTCCCCCGTCGCGGAATATCATCAGAAATCTCATCAAAAGCGAGCCGGGTCATCTGACCCATTTCATCCAAAATCGAACGGAAATGTTTTTCAAACGGACTTTGGTTCATCTTCATCCTGAAAAAAGAAGGTATGGTGTAGTCAGACCGACATCGTAATGGCTGGCGAGTTACCGCCTGAAGTTGGCGACAGAGCCGTGGTACAACGCTTCGTGCTCGATACATTTTGTAACTGAAGATATAACAGCACAATCTACATTTAAAAGCGGTTTGTCATGTCTAGACCAGTCTAGATCATTCTGATGCAAGTGCAGCGATACATTTCGCGTACACTCTGGAACGTTCTGATGTAAACAGCATTAACGACGTAGTTATGGGGATTCCCCCTCACGCCATTATTTCTATTAATAGCCTCGGCACAGCCCGTACAGATTCAACTCTCACAACGAGCAGAGAAGTATATAACACGTGTTATATACGTCTCTGCAACGAGTAAACTATATCTATAAGTATATATGTAGGAAAAAAATCTACAGACGTTGAAGTTGTCTGTGTGTATAGCAGTATAATGACCTGACATCCAAAACCTTTTCTAATACATATTTTATATCCATTTGTTATAATGATCAGCTGATTAGTCCTGGATACTTATCATTACAAATCACAAGGCGTATTTTTATTTATGTTTTCCGACGAGAAAAAACGAGACAAACTTAACTGAAATGAGAACGAAAATCACCATGGGTCGAACCATCAATTGCAATAGTGATATTTGTAAGAAAACGATATAATTCGCGATAATTTTGAGCGTTTAAAAGTTTTGGACATAAAAATAGTCCTAATGAAACATTATTTTGAGAAATTAAAATTCGAGCATCCGCTTAACTTATTTTAAATTATTTCAACTATTCGCTCTATATCTCCAGTCATTCGATAGTTGTTTTGACAGTGAGTTTGAATCATCTTTTGTCATCCTGGAATTTACTTATGTATGTGGGTGACACTGTATTGACAGTGGAGAAACTTTTAGATATACTGTATGTTTATAACTTAGCCGTGATGGAAGTTAAAATTTAATGTCTCCAAAACTAAAATCATTATTTTTCGAAATGGAGGGAACATAAGAAAGTTAGAAAAATGGACATACAACAGCAAGAAATCGATATAGTTAATGAATTCAATTACAGTTTGAGTGTATGTAGTATGCTGATGAAATTCAACAGCTCGATCAGCGACACTTTGCTAGCAAAGAAAGAAAGGCTTTGTTTGTAATAAATAGTAAATTGAATAAAAATACTTCTGATGTTTCAATAAAATGTTTCGTGTTTGATGCATATGTCAACAACATACTAGAACATGGAAACGAGATGAGGAGCTTTCACAAATCACCAGATATAGAGAAACTCCATTCTGGGTTTTGTAAGCGATTGTTGTACAGAATGTACACAAAGATTTAAAGACTGAAAAAGAGCAAAAATATTAATGTTGCTCGAGGTGACCTATACAAACAATTAATTTGCCATTTTTAGTATGCAATATTACTTATTGAAGCCTTTTGAGGATGTATATAAAATGATAAAAATGGTCACAATTACAACGTTGAGAGAAGACGTAGAATATGAGTGTGAATTAATGAATTGATAAATTATTGTGGGTGGGTGTGGGTATGTGTGTGTGTGTGAGTGCTTTATTTTTCCTTTTATTTTTTTGCGAAAATATTGCTTCGTAGCTGGTTATTTTAGATGTGAATACCTTTCGATAGGTTGCTTTTACAGACTGCATTGAACTTTTAAGTGAATCAGCACCGTGTATGCTAATGACGCTACACCCACATAGACGATTTCATGAGACCAATATGAGAAAAATACTCAAGGGAGGAGGGTGGGCGAGAGTCTGTCTCAAAAGAGGATACTTAAAACTTGTAAAAATTGTACAACATATTTAAATGAGTTATTTGAATATGCAAATTGAATTTTACTCTATATTTCCGGTCTTCGCTTGCTCAAAGACTACATATTATAAAAAAAGTAATACACAAGGACTAGAAAGGTGAGTCTTTAATTTGCGAGTGAAAAGAACAGATGATGTAAGTATTACCTTTTCATTTTCTATTAACATTTTCTTAAAAAATTATTATTGAATCGTAGTTAAATGTTTAAATGAACTTTTTTTTTATATTTTATCTAATTACACGTGACCAGTTTCTAACAGATAGTTAAATCCAGGATTAGCTTTTGTAACGATTACACATAATTCATGGAAAATGTAAACGCACATTGAAAGCGTCTTCTTACACTGTAATACAGGTTATCTTAAAGAAAAAAAACACAATGAATACAAACTTCGCTTCCCGAATAAGAGATCACACTCGTGTAATGTATACTCTCTCTGTGTGTGTGTGTGTGTGTGTGTGTGTGTGTGTGTGTGTGTGTGTGTGTGTGTGTGTGTGTGTGGGTGGGTGTGTGGGTGGGTGTGTGTTGTGTGTGAGGGTGTGTGTGTGTGTGTGTGTGTGTGTGTGTGTGTGTGTGTGTGTGTGTGGGTGTGTGTGTGTGTGTGTGTGTGTGTGTGTGTGTGTGTGTGTGTGTGTGTGAGGGTGGTGGTGTGTGTGTGTGTGTGTGTATAGGTGTGTGGGTGTATAGATGGGGGTGGGTGGGTGTTGGGTTCCTTAGAATAAAAATGAGTTAGAATTGACGTTCATCGAGTACAAGCCGATATATAAAAGTCGACAGAACGTAGACTAGGTTCATCAACTGTGTCGTGGACCACACAACCTTTCGTTAAAGATACAGTGAAGACAGGGAGATGTTTAATCAAGTAAAATATTGATTTTGACAAAGCCAAAGAGAGAAGTATTATCAGGTTTTTTTAACGTGGTAAACAGATGTGGCCACAATCTTCCGAGAATGTTATTTAAATGTGACTTTAAGGACCATCTTCCTCCCTCTGCACACTGTACATCAGGATATATCCACTCAGAGCATCACTAGAGATTAACACTACGTATAACAATGAAGATACTTAAAGCAGGTCGAGTTGGTAATGTTCTATACATAAATCCTAAGTGGATCCATCTACATTTAATATGAAACGTGACCATACAGGGTAGATATACGAATCTTTGGGACCTTCTTCCTGTCTCGGCGTATCTTGAGATGCTTTGCTTCCTTGGCCTGCCTCTAAAAAGACTTGCTTCCTCTAACATTTACTTTAGAATTGTCCTAGTCAATGATGTGTTTATTCTAAGTCACGTGATATGTGCCGTTTTATCGACCTGGAACTCGGAATGTTTTCTTTATGACCTGGTAATATTCATTCCCTCTTCAGATTTTCGCATCTTACTGACGTTCCCATGTTCGGACTGCAAATATCTCCGATATGTCACAGTTTTTACACTCAACATCTTTGGGATGGAGATAGCTATTTCTGACAATCTTGTAAGGTTTCATCCTCTGATAACCATATTTTTAGTGGACAAATTTCCATTAATTTTTTTCTTGTGTCGTTTCGTTGATGAAGTAGTATAGTATCTATTTTTTTCGGGGAGCATTTAGCCGTCCGTCGGTTTGTTTGGCCGTCCGTCCGTCATAATTTTGTCTGGAGCATATATACTGAGAGGAAAAAGAAACGCAATTAGCAGAAAGTTAATATTGACATTAAATCCTTGACGTACACCCTTGAAACTTGACAAATGTGTGCATTTGAGTTAGGTCCCTATGGTACCGTATCAAAATCACTGATGCATAACTAAACTGCGCACGCCGCTTGTACAAAAGAATAAGTGACGAAGGCACGATATCTCGAACCCAGTATAAAGGATTGGTTCAAAATCTGTGTGTGCGAATCTTCAGACATATCCGTCTTGATTTTCAACATTTTAAGCATAAACAGTTCACCGTAAAAAATCCCACGACTGTCCGAAGTTGACAGAGGTCGTGCCATTGCACTTCTTATGCAAGGTACCCCGAAAAATCAGGTCGCTAATAAATTTGGAGTCCATCCATCGAACATTTGCCGTCTCATCCAAAGACTACATGCCACCGGAAGGGTTGCAAATCGTCCCCGAAGCAGTCGCCCTCGTGTGACGACGCGTCGGCAGGAAAGGACAATGCGACTTTCGCACCTACGCAATCGCTTTCTGACGGCCACGGAAACAGCAAGGAACACAATTGGGCGTCATCATGTTCCAATTGATCCAAAGACAGTGCGTACTCGACTGCGTGCCTTCGGTCTAAGACCGCGGCGGCCATATGTTGGACCACAGCTTAATGCGCGGCGACGTGCCAGACGAATGCAATGGCTGAACGCACATTCCGTAAGACGCTTCCCAATGCAACGTTGGAGAAGGGTCCTTTTCTCAGATGAGTCCAGGTTTTTGCTTTACCGGGCAGACGGCCAACGTTGTGTCCATAGACCCCACGAGCGCTATGCAGATGCTTGCGTGATAGAGAATGACCGCTTTTGGGGAGGATCGGTCATGGTATGAGGAGGGATTGCGCATGGTGTCAAGACTGCTCTAGTCGTTATTCAGGGAAATCTCACGGCCGTCCGCTATAGAGATCAAGTCCTATCGCCGCATGTTGTTTCTCTAGTACATCAGTGTCAACTGACGTTTCAGCAGGACAACGCCCGGCCGCATGTAGCGAGGGTTTGCCGTGGTTATATCGCAGCAAACAATGTCCCCACCCTAGACTGGCCCCATACAGCCCTGACCTCTCCCCAATAGAACATTTATGGGACGAGTTGGACAGAAAGATAAGACGTAGGCCGAATCCTCCAATCAACGTCGCTCAGTTGGCGTTGGCGTTGGCGCTGTATGAGGAATGAAATCATATACCAATGATGAGGGTTAATACCCCGGTCAATTCAATGCACAAAAGAGTTCGTGCAGTTACTGCAGCTCGCGGGGGGCACACACGATATTGATGGGTCCAGAACGCACTTCATTTTGAGTGGGGTACTCTTGAATCAACGTCAAATTTGAAAGGTTTACTTAACGGAAACGAACGAAATTCTCGTAGATGACAGAGTGGTCATCTATCTTTCAGTTACAACATAATTACTTTCTAAAACCCTTTTCTATTTCCCGTAGTTGACCTGGAAATTCCTAATTGCATTTCTTTTTCCTCTCAGTATAACAAAAACTATAAGAGACGTCCTAGGTAGATAGATCTCGATAAGAAGTGCAGTGTACGTGAACCTGTACGGGAACCATAACTCTCATTTGCATAGTTAGGAGTTTTCGCCCTATATTACTTTTCATACTTAAATTTAGTTCGGAGCATAACACAAGAACTATAAGATGTATCAACATGAAACTTGGAGCGTTTATTCGGAGAACATCCATCGGTGATACCAATTCTCTTGTCTAACTGGTTGCGATACAAAAAATGCATTGAGTGTTCAATGTCTCGAAAGAGAAAGAGCTAACTTTTACCTGCATCATAACACAGTTATAATTGTACATGAAATAAAAAAAGATTATACTAATAACACATAAGTGAAAAGCACATTTCAATTCAAAATATTTGGGTACACTATAGCCAAATCATGGATAGTCGATCTTCTGATACTAGTCACTGATGCTTAGAGCTGATTTTTTAACAATGGAGGCGACTGTGGAAAAAGTAAAAGTGAGAAGCTAAATGGATGAGGCACTAGCACAAATTATCCAGTATGTATATAGATAATAGATAAGGAATGTATATTCCTGAACCGAGCTTTAACAATACAATTCAACAAATGCCGCAGTTTTTTTTAAACATTCTGAATTTTAGTCAGTAAAATTAATTGCTTAGAATGAATTAACCCATGACACGGATTATTATGTTAAGATGTGTCGTTGCGTGATAAAAGCGATTTACCGGTCAATCTTTTTAGGAATTTAGTAAATTGCGTGATGTCCCTTCCCATCTGTTTATACCAGGTCAGCTTTATGGCTCTGTGTTAACTAGGACTTACTGATTACGTTAGGTTGATTCACCCTGTCTTGGAGTGTAACGCTTTCTTTGTGATTGGCTGGATGAGTGTGTCAGATTGTCAATCTTCAAGTATATGTTATAAGGAGAGAGCCGAAAGTATTTAATATAGGACAACGAATAGTTATAGTTTACGTATATAATCACACATATACACATCGTGACTACAACACACATAGGTTCACATTCCCGCGGACAATAATACTCGGTTAATTTTCAGTGACTACAATACTCTGATCCAGTGGCTACAATACTCTGATCCAGTGTCTACAATACTCAGATCCAGTGTCTACAATACTCAGATCCAGTGACTACAATACTCTGATCCAGTGACTACAATACTCTGATCCAGTGACTACAATACTCTGATCCAGTGTCTACAATACTCTGATCCAGTGACTACAATACTCTGATCCAGTGACTACAATACTCTGATCCAGTGACTACAATACTCTGATCCAGTGACTACAATACTCTGATCCAGTGACTACAATACTCTGATCCAGTGACTACAATACTCTGATCCAGTGACTACAATACTCTGGTCCTTTCCACTTACGAATAAAATGCTGGATTACACAGGCGTGTTCTTTCTGATCCTGAAGATGATCAATCTCTCGTCAGGAGGTATGTAAACCAAATCACAGTCCTTACTATATCGTCATACATCCAGGCTGATGTAGGTATCTCTGTGAATTCACGTCAGCGTAAACACGGGGCAGCGACAAAAGCTGTTGATAAAACCTCTGGCTTAAATGCAATGTGATATCTTGATGATTTCCTCGCTGTTCTCATCTGCCAGACAAACACTTGATTCGCACACATTCGTTTCATGTTAAAATAAATTTTCGTTTATTTTACTTGCAGAACCATGTGCCCATGACGTTAATGTGTTTCAAAACATGTCGGGATACTACGCGGTATGGTCAAAGATTGGACGAGGTTGTGGTGATTTGTGGTTTCGTATTGGTGATCAATCAGATACTCCATTAAGGTCATCACCTACGCTTATAGAATTGGGGAATAATCCAAGAATTATATGTCGGAACTGTAACATTGTCAACATCGATATCGGTAAGGCATGAGACATTTTTAAATATTAAATGATCAAGTTTAAAAGAATAGAATGTTATCATTTGTTTGACATTTCTCTATTTCCTTGTTTTCATTAATTAATTTAGCAAATGTAAAATTCGAAATAAGTATACCGTGTGTTTAGAAGTGTGAATACCTCTACAGTGTGGGGTCTGGTTTGTGTGTGAATCTCTCTACAGTGTGGGGTCTGGTTTGTGTGTGAATACCTCTACAGTGTGGGGTCTGGTTTGTGTGTGAATCTCTCTACAGTGTGGGGTCTGGTTTGTGTGTGAATACCTCTACAGTGTGGGGTCTGGTTTGTGTGTGAATCTCTCTACAGTGTGGGGTCTGGTTTGTGTGTGAATCTCTCTACAGTGTGGGGTCTGGTTTGTGTGTGAATCTCTCTACAGTGTGGGGTCTGGTTTGTGTGTGAATACCTCTACAGTGTGGGGTCTGGTTTGTGTGTGAATCTCTCTACAGTGTGGGGTCTGGTTTGTGTGTGAATCTCTCTACAGTGTGGGGTCTGGTTTGTGTGTGAATCTCTCTACAGTGTGGGGTCTGGTTTGTGTGTGAATCTCTCTACAGTGTGGGGTCTGGTTTGTGTGTGAATCTCTCTACAGTGTGGGGTCTGGTTTGTGTGTGAATCTCTCTACAGTGTGGGGTCTGGTTTGTGTGTGAATCTCTCTACAGTGTGGGGTCTGGTTTGTGTGTGTGAATCTCTCTACAGTGTGGGGTCTGGTTTGTGTGTGAATCTCTCTACAGTGTGGGGTCTGGTTTGTGTGTGAATCTCTCTACAGTGTGGGGTCTGGTTTGTGTGTGAATCTCTCTACAGTGTGGGGTCTGGTTTGTGTGTGAATCTCTCTACAGTGTGGGGTCTGGTTTGTGTGTGAATCTCTCTACAGTGTGGGGTCTGGTTTGTGTGTGAATCTCTCTACAGTGTGGGGTCTGGTTTGTGTGTGAATCTCTCTACAGTGTGGGGTCTGGTTTGTGTGTGAATCTCTCTACAGTGTGGGGTCTGGTTTGTGTGTGAATCTCTCTACAGTGTGGGGTCTGGTTTGTGTGTGAATCTCTCTACAGTGTGGGGTCTGGTTTGTGTGTGAATCTCTCTACAGTGTGGGGTCTGGTTTGTGTGTGAATCTCTCTACAGTGTGGGGTCTGGTTTGTGTGTGAATCTCTCTACAGTGTGGGGTCTGGTTTGTGTGTGAATCTCTCTACAGTGTGGGGTCTGGTTTGTGTGTGAATCTCTCTACAGTGTGGGGTCTGGTTTGTGTGTGAATCTCTCTACAGTGTGGGGTCTGGTTTGTGTGTGAATCTCTCTACAGTGTGGGGTCTGGTTTGTGTGTGAATCTCTCTACAGTGTGGGGTCTGGTTTGTGTGTGAATCTCTCTACAGTGTGGGGTCTGGTTTGTGTGTGAATCTCTCTACAGTGTGGGGTCTGGTTTGTGTGTGAATCTCTCTACAGTGTGGGGTCTGGTTTGTGTGTGAATCTCTCTACAGTGTGGGGTCTGGTTTGTGTGTGAATCTCTCTACAGTGTGGGGTCTGGTTTGTGTGTGAATCTCTCTACAGTGTGGGGTCTGGTTTGTGTGTGAATCTCTCTACAGTGTGGGGTCTGGTTTGTGTGTGAATCTCTCTACAGTGTGGGGTCTGGTTTGTGTGTGAATCTCTCTACAGTGTGGGGTCTGGTTTGTGTGTGAATCTCTCTACAGTGTGGGGTCTGGTTTGTGTGTGAATCTCTCTACAGTGTGGGGTCTGGTTTGTGTGTGAATCTCTCTACAGTGTGGGGTCTGGTTTGTGTGTGAATCTCTCTACAGTGTGGGGTCTGGTTTGTGTGTGAATCTCTCTACAGTGTGGGGTCTGGTTTGTGTGTGAATCTCTCTACAGTGTGGGGTCTGGTTTGTGTGTGAATCTCTCTACAGTGTGGGGTCTGGTTTGTGTGTGAATCTCTCTACAGTGTGGGGTCTGGTTTGTGTGTGAATCTCTCTACAGTGTGGGGTCTGGTTTGTGTGTGAATCTCTCTACAGTGTGGGGTCTGGTTTGTGTGTGAATCTCTCTACAGTGTGGGGTCTGGTTTGTGTGTGAATCTCTCTACAGTGTGGGGTCTGGTTTGTGTGTGAATCTCTCTACAGTGTGGGGTCTGGTTTGTGTGTGAATCTCTCTACAGTGTGGGGTCTGGTTTGTGTGTGAATCTCTCTACAGTGTGGGGTCTGGTTTGTGTGTGAATCTCTCTACAGTGTGGGGTCTGGTTTGTGTGTGAATCTCTCTACAGTGTGGGGTCTGGTTTGTGTGTGAATCTCTCTACAGTGTGGGGTCTGGTTTGTGTGTATGGACCTCTACAGTGTGGGATCTGGTTTGTGTGTGAATCTCTCTACAGTGTGGGGTCTGGTTTGTGTGTGAATCTCTCTACAGTGTGGGGTCTGGTTTGTGTGTGAATCTCTCTACAGTGTGGGGTCTGGTTTGTGTGTGAATCTCTCTACAGTGTGGGGTCTGGTTTGTGTGTGAATCTCTCTACAGTGTGGGGTCTGGTTTGTGTGTGAATCTCTCTACAGTGTGGGGTCTGGTTTGTGTGTGAATCTCTCTACAGTGTGGGGTCTGGTTTGTGTGTGAATCTCTCTACAGTGTGGGATCTGGTTTGTGTGTGAATCTCTCTACAGTGTGGGGTCTGGTTTGTGTGTGAATCTCTCTACAGTGTGGGGTCTGGTTTGTGTGTGAATCTCTCTACAGTGTGGGGTTTGGTTTGTGTGTGAATCTCTCTACAGTGTGGGGTTTGGTTTGTGTGTGAATCTCTCTACAGTGTGGGTTTTGGTTTGGGTGTATGGACCTCTACAGTGTGGCTTTTGGTTTGGGTGTATGGACCACTACAGTGTGGGGTCTGGTTTGTGTGTATGGACCTCTACAGTGTGGCTTTTGGTTTGTGTGTATGGACCTCTACAGTGTGGCTTTTGGTTTGTGTGTATGGACCTCTACAGTGTGGCTTTTGGTTTGTGTGTATGGAGCTCTACAGTGTGGCTTTTGGTTTGTGTGTATGGACCTCTACAGTGTGGCTTTTGGTTTGTGTGTATGGACCTCTACAGTGTGGCTTTTGGTTTGTGTGTATGGACCTCTACAGTGTGGGTTTTGGTTTGTGTGTATGGATCTCTACAGTGTGGGTTTTTGTTTGGGTGTGTGGACCTCTACAGTGTGGGTTTTGGTTTGTGTGTATGGACCTCTACAGTGTGGCTTTTGGTTTGTGTGTATGGACCTCTACAGTGTGGCTTTTGGTTTGTGTGTATGGACCTCTACAGTGTGGCTTTTGGTTTGTGTGTATGGACCTCTACAGTGTGGCTTTTGGTTTGTGTGTATGGACCTCTACAGTGTGGCTTTTGGTTTGTGTGTATGGACCTCTACAGTGTGGGTTTTGGTTTGGATGTATGGGCCTCTACAGTGTTGGTTTTGGTTTGGGTGTGATGTGACACTATCAAGTAGATCACTCTGTTGTTAAACCAGAAATGGTTATATGAACAGGAAGCAGTATTTTACTGTATATAATGTTGGTTGGAAATTTAAAATATGAAAATAATAATTTCCATGAATTTATTGTTGTTTAATTTAGCTTATAACAGGAATTGAGTGTTAAATATGTACATAGTATATTGCACCAAATATGACCTTTACCTGTCCAGCACTGAATAGCCAAGTAGGGACTTATGTAAACAATGGTAGCCAGAATTCATATAAACAAATGTGATGTGTATATATAAACAGTGCAGTACAGTTAGAGTAACGATGATTGTATAATTATAACGTAAAATATTTCAAGGTCATGAGAAAATAATAGTTTAGATAGTGAATTGTATATAGTTGCTTACAGCATTATGAGTATGTAAGGTAAACATGACCGATTTAGCAGATGTTAGGTTCTGCGTAATTGTTAAGTATTTGATTATTATATATGTAAATAGTGACCAATATGCGGTGGGTCTGAAGACTGGTAGTACCAATTGTCATTCCAGACAATAGCTTCCTGGGATTGGGGAATGGACCAATCAACGGTCGTTGCACTAAATGTGCATCCCCAATCCATCAGCACTTATCCCATACACAATAACAAATGGCGCCAAGATTCTGCATTTTGTGTCCAAATCGGTATCATTTTGACAGAATCTTGATATGGTTGGGTCGCCAGGATCAACCATTGTTCTTGAGGAATTTCCACCTGCGGAGTTGTCCGACTTTTGGCTTCCCCTGTAAATACTGGGCAGCTTTCGCTGCTCATTGCACTTGGATCTAGGGATGCCAAAGGGACAACTTCCGGTTGTGGGACTGACTCTACGGAAGCGTGATAGGGAGCGAGCCTTCTTGTGGACTTCACTGTGCTATATAAACAACAAGTAGAAAGGAATTTGGACTTGGCTTTTTCTTCGGGAAACACAACGCGAGCGGGGGCACAGTGGGGTTACAGTACGAATATCTACAGTGTGAGTTTTTGTTTGGGTGTGTTGATCTCTACAGTATGGGTTTTGGTTTGGGTGTATGGATCTCTACAGTGTGGGTTTTGGTTTGGGTGTATGGACCTTTACAGTGTGAGTTTTGGTTTGGATGTATGAACCTCTACAGTGTGTGTTTTGGTTTGGATGTATGAACCTCTACAGTGTGGGTTTTGGTTTGGGTGTATGGACCTCTACAGTGTGGCTTTTGGTTTGTGTGTATGGACCTCTACAGTGTGGCTTTTGGTTTGTGTGTATGGACCTCTACAGTGTGGCTTTTGGTTTGTGTGTATGGACCTCTACAGTGTGGCTTTTGGTTTGTGTGTATGGACCTCTACAGTGTGGCTTTTGGTTTGTGTGTATGGACCTCTACAGTGTGGGTTTTGGTTTGGATGTATGGGCCTCTACAGTGTTGGTTTTGGTTTGGGTGTGATGTGACACTATCAAGTAGATCACTCTGTTGTTAAACCAGAAATGGTTATATGAACAGGAAGCAGTATTTTACTGTATATAATGTTGGTTGGAAATTTAAAATA